GGGCGACTGAGGCAGACTCGGCCGGTGTGGTGGCCACACAGCTGCGGGGGGCAGTCAACCCTGGCCGGAGTGGTCAGGGAGCATCCGCTCCATAGACCAGCCTCATGTCCCCATTTCACAGGAAAGGAGCCGAGGGTGAGGTGGCCAAGTGTCGGACGAGGTGGGCTGCTCAGGGCTCCGCAGCTTGGCTGGACTTGCACCCTCATCTGCCTGTGAGACTGTCTGCGTCCCGTAGCCTGTCACTGGGAACCATGTGCCTGTGGGGCTTGGAGCAGATAGCAGAGTGTGGGGGTCAGAGGCTAGGACCCCACACGGCTGCGACCCACTGCCCCACCAGCAAGCTGGGCTTTGGTGGTTCACAAAGGAAGGTGGGGCACAGCACAGTGGACTTATTGGGGTTTTTGTAAGAGAATGGAGGGTTCTGGCCTCATGGGAGGTGCCAGCTCTGGGCCCTGTTCTGCTCTGAGTGACACTGCCCTGTATGTTCTGGAGGAAGCTTGGGGGTCTGTTTCTATGGAAACAGCCAGTTTCTGGTTTTCAAATATTTATATTGTATGGTTTATAACTTTGTAGGCTTCACAGCTGCACAAACGAGGTCCAGCTCCTAGAGGGGAACAAGCTCTAAAACCAGAAATCTAGAAAACTGGCTGTTCAGCTTTGAAGTTTGTCCCCCCACATGCAAGGACCAATCAAGCTTACTAACTTTTAATTTTGCCAAAAAAATTAAAAATAAGGCAAGCAGCTGAGACCCTCACCCCTATCACCACCTAAGAGATATGGAGGCGGCAGTGGGGGAGCCTCTGAGTGAAGGCGCTGCTTATGGAGGTGGCCGGCTCCTCCCTGGCCAGTCCCCTGAGTGGGCCACAGGTGTACGGCCTGCTCAGACATGGCTACCCAGAGGGTCTTGAGGCCCCCATAGACTGGAGTTCAGAGCGGACGGGCATGAGGAAGGGACTCCGGCAGGCGCTCTGTGTCCTCTGAGGGCCCCTTCCGTGCCTGGGGGCTGCCCAGTCTCCCCATCACTGGTCACTCCCCTTGCTGCCCACCAAGGCCCTCTCTCCAGCGCTGCACCCCGGTGTGTCCTGGCCTCTGGCCTCTCTCAGGTGGAGAAACCCACACTCCTGGCAGGAGGGGTCACCGTGTCCCCACCCTCTCTCAGACCCTCCCCTGCAGCCCGTCTGGGGCAGGGGTCCCTGTCCAGCCACACCCCTACCTCCACCCCTGGAAGGTTGGGACCTGAGATGCCCCTCCTCAGGGTGGTCCTACATCTGATGCCCAGAGCTCCTGGGGGCCTTCCTGGGACTCCAGAACATTCTAGCAGGGGAGTTTGCTCATTTGACCCTTGTTTGTTGAGTTCTATTACTAAACGTGCCTCAACAGAATAGAAACCCTGCTGTCTGCTGACGGAATGCGCATGTCTGGGAGGAGGACACCCAGCTTCAGTACAGCCTCAGCCTGTCCTCTTGCAAGAAGGACATGTGCGTGGAGCAAGGCCACAGCCCCTGCAGCCCCATTAGCCTTGCAAGCTGCATCTCAGCTGTCAGGGAACAGGAGCCCGGTGACGAGGGGTGTGGCCCTCCTGCATCCTCACCCCGCCCCTGTGCCCTGTGTGCCCGCACCCCACTCATCAGGCCCATCAGGCTAGTGATGAAGCAGGGGAAGCCAGTGTGCCAAAGCCTCTCTTTCTCCTCCTGGTACCTCAGTGTCTTCCCTCCGCTTTCCCCGAATCGTGGTCAGCAGACCCCTTGGGTGTGTTAGTGGCTGCTAGCCCAGAATGCTCCTCCTCCCTGGGAAGCTAGAGACTCTAGAGAACCAAGCGCCTCTCACTCCGCCGTTTGCCCAGTGCCCCAGACCCCCAGAACATTCCGACGCCAGCTGAGCCAGACACACACGTCTGTGGGCCTCTGGCTGTGCCGCTCTGGCCGCTGTGATAAAGGCCCTGTCCAGGCAGGGCACAGCAAGCCCTCTATCTCCTCATGGTGCCACGGGGCAAACTGCCCACCAGGCTCTGAAGTTTTCCCCTGGCCTTTGGTGTGGAATACCCACTGAGGGTTGGGGTGTGGGTCACCCCAGGTCAGTGAGAAGCCACCCCCAAAGCCTTCTGAGGACCCTGGATGTCCACGGGTCACACGGGGTACACGGCAAGGGGAGGGGCCCTCTCCAGAAGCAGGCCACTCCCTCCCTCCCAGAGGTGTCTGATGAGCACAGAGTCTGGCGGGCAGCACACGCCCTGCAGCCCCCCTCAACAGCAATGTCTGTGTGCGGTTGGGTAGCTGCATCAGGACCCGTGACATGAGCACAGCACGGCTTGACAGCTAATGCAAGCTTTATTTAGCAGAATGGCTGGTTGTGCCTGTATCGTCTCACTGGGGAATCGTGTCAGCCACCTCGGGAGCACTGTGTGCTTGAGTCACGAAGAGAAAGCGTTATGGAAGTCCCCACCCATAGCGGTGGGCTTGGCGTGGTGACAGAGGGGGGGCTTGTCTGGGAGGGAGGGTCTGCCCAGGGCTGCTCGGATCACAGGCAGGAAGCCCCACCCGGCCCATCCTTCACTCTCACTTCCTGTTCTGCTGCTGGCCTGCTTCAAATATCAGGGAACTAAAGGGGAATTGGGGGTAGACGTAGTTGCACCAAAAGCCATGGGCTTTCCTGCTGAATGATGCTCTTTGGGTGACTTATGCCCTAAGAATGTCTGAGTTGGTCTGCACAAATGGAGGAGATCAGTCTGGGAGGGTAAAGGGTCTATAATGTCTCGCCCTAGAATCACAGGGAGCTTCTCCGGAACAACTTCTCCTTCTCCCTCTTGTGACTAGAGAACTTTCCCCTCCAGCTGGACCTATAGGCAGCCTGTGGTGCCTTGTTCAAATAAAGCAACACTTACTCAACAGAGGCCTGGCTTACACCCTGGGGGTAGGGATGCTGGGCAGGGGCTGGAGCACTGTCCTCGCACACAAGTGAAGCGCCCCCAGCCCCCAGCAGCACCGCTGGCTCCTAACGGAAGGGTCCCAGCGTTGGCGCCACCAGGCTCCCTGACCTCCACCTGACCTCCGGTGCTTCGTGCTGATCTGGAAGTGAATCATGGCAAGCCATGAAGAGCCAAGCCTGTGCCCAGCAGCTGGAGCTGGCCGGCTGGGGCTTCATGCTGCATCGTGTTGGTTTGCAGGCATTTCCTCACCCATGCAGACGAGGACCTGCTATGTAGCACCGTGGTCATGCCTGACTCCCGGAGGGGAAACTGATGCTTGGTGGTCCTCGTGTCCAGACCCAGAAAGAGGCCAGACCAGGGCTGCAGGCACCTCAAGTTTGGAGAGGCTGCCTGTGAAGGTTCTGGGGAAACTTCCCAGCCCTGTGATATCCTGTGTGGTCTCAGAGCCTTGCAAAGCTATAAGGACACACCTGGAGGCTGTGTCACCAGGTCTAGCAGGTGCAGGCCTCATGGAGCCCCGGGCCCTGAATGCTCTGAGCTGCAGCCGGGGCCCCTTCCTGGGTGAGACCCAGGTGGAGCCAGCAGAGAGCAAGGCCAATCCAGTGTCCTCAGCTGCCCCAGGCCCCACCTGCCCTGAGGTCCCCAGAAGGCCAGGGAGCACGTCACTGTGCTAGAGCCCCACCCACAGCTCGTGAGTCCCCTTGCTCCCGGCTGCAGCAGCCCTGTGCGGCCTGGGAGCAGGAGGTGGGCTTCCTCACGTGGCTCGCCTGTGAAGACAGTGACACCCGCCCGTTCCTCCCTCCTCTGGTACCACAGTGTCTCTTCTGGGGACGTTCTGACTCTGCTCCAGCGTGCTGGTGTGCCCCTGCCAGTGGCCCAGCCCCAGGTATGCCCTCCTTCCCACTCAGAAGAATTCAGACTCCGGGGTCTCCCAGGCCTCTGCTCCACCCTGGAAAATACAGCCTGGGCGTTTGGAGCCCCACGCAGAGTGGCCCCACCACCCTCCTCTCAGGACAGAAAGGGGTCTCCTGGCTCGGCAGGGGCAAGGAGACGTGGACCCCTGGAGTGAGGCTGGGATTTGGCCTTCCTTCCTTGGGAGACTTTACCTCTGTCCTACTTCTGTGCCTGAGACAGCCTCAGCTGAGAGACCAAGATCCTGCCTCAGGCACACGGATGCACCCAGTCCTCAACCTACTGCCCTTCCACCCGGGGACGGGGTGAAGCGGGAGCAGCTCCCCAGACACCACTGCCCAGACAGCGGCGGTGTTCGGGGCACACAGGCCTGCAGACAACAGGGTGCCCCACGCAGCCACACACCCAGCCCTTTCTGCTCGGCACCGCTTCCCCTGCAGCTCATTCTTTCTGAGAATAGTAGATGAGAGGGCCAAGAAATGGAAACCGAGCAAAAAAGTTCCTAAGATGTGACCTGCCCTCCTACCCTCGCATGGCATCTGCACCCTCTGGTGTGTAGTTTTCTGTCAGAGCTTGTTTCTCATCTCCAGGCTCGAAGGCCCCACTTTCCACCCTCAGATCTTCCCACGGAGCTTCTCCCCCCGCTGATTTCTGTGGTGCCCTGTCCTTGGGGCAGCCCTTTCTCACAGAGCCTCTGCCTGCCTTGGGCGAAGGTGTCCTGAGCGGTTCTCTGGGAAGAGGTCTGGCTCTGGCCTCACACTGCCTTGCTCACAGAGCAAGTCGCAGCGATGCTGCAGACCGCAGTGTGATCCACTCACCCCAGCTGCACATGTGAAAAGAAAAGGCGCGGTGAGAAAGGTAACAAACTGGTGATTTTCGGAACCTGGAAAGCTGTCGGCGTTAGACCAGGATCTGGCATTTGTCAGACCTGCACGGTCACCCGAGGGTGGTCAGGAGCGCCCTGTTGATCCTTCTGTGCTACCTGGCTTTCATTTTGGCCCCTGGCCTCCAGCACTCCTGGAACAGTTGGGACTTGGGAGCAGAGCCCAGCATATTCAATCCCCTGGCCAGATGGCCGCCACCAGCCTTTGACTGGGACACACTGGCCTTTGCGAAGGAGAGAGGACAGGACAAGGACAAGCTGTGGTGCAGATGGCCCTTGACTTACCTTGAAGATGACAGTGTCCCACTCACCCATATATATCTGGGAATCTGGGTGCTGGAGTGCCAAGGGGAGGGTGTCTGCAGGCCTGACCAGTGGGGCTGACGCAGCCACAGCTTCTCTGTGGACATCCCAAGGTGGCTGCACAAGTGCCCTCTGCTCACAGGTGGAAACGCTGGGTGGCTGAAGCTCTGCACCTGGTCCAGTCCCCTCTCCTGCTCTGGGTACCTAGCAGGCATGCACTCTGCCCTGGCCTTGGGTGTCTGCCCCCAGCCTGCTGTGGGGGCAGCTCTGCTGGTAAAGGCTCTGACCTGGTGACCGTGAGTCGGGCTGTTGGTTGGGCAGTGTGGAAACTGAGCGAGGAGCAGAGCTGGGAAAGCGTGTGGGAGGCCTGCAGGTGACGAAGGTGCTGCCTGAAGGGTGGGAGGCACGGCGCATGGGGCGGCAAGGCCCCCCAGGAGTTTGCAAGTGTGGAGGGACATGCTGGGGGTTCCTCAAATCTGGATGTGTCTGACCAAACACTTTTGCACAAGTCTTTTTAGGGAGTTGAGATTAACCATTTCACCAAGGGAACTTCAGTGGACCAGAGAGGAGGGTGCAGGAGGAGCCCTTGATGGGCAGGAGCAGCTCCAGGCAGAGCTTAGAGCAGCGTGGGTGGGACCAGCCTTGAAGGCAGTGGGACTGGGGCCCAGGCAGGGCAGGCAGGGCAGAAGGCCTTCCACCAGTCACACTTGGCCCAGGACATGGCCCACTGCCTCTGCGGTGGGAAGTGGTTGTGTGCTTATAGGCCCACGGGTGGGGCAGGCTCTGTGGGCAAGGCTGACAGCCACACGAGGAGACACTGCCCGAAGGGCAGCCTCACTTCCCCTTGGCGGTGTGTGCTGGGAGGCCAGCTAGGGAGCCAGTGCATGGGGCACTGAGCCCTTGGGACCCACACAGCCAGGCCTGAGCGCTACCCTCATGTCCCCCAGGGTCCTCATGCTGAGGACACCATCAGAGAGTTTTTCCGTTTCCGTTGTGACCTAAAATAAGAGGTTTTTAAAATGTCGAAAACAAACCACCATGCTTATGAGACATGCTTGTCCCCACTGTGCTGGCATCTCTTGTGACCGCAGCTTGCTCACGGCCACCTCCCCCATACCCAGAGCATGACCACCAGGCTGATTGGGAAGACACAGCTCAGCCGCCCCCACTTTCTCTGTTCCCCATTTTCCCACCACTTCTTGTCAAGTTGGGCGTGCTTCTTCTTTCATCCACTTCTTATGCCCTTGATTCTGGCTGTGTCCTGCCCAGCATGGTTTTTATTATTAACACCTCATTTTGAAAGTATGTGTAAGGCAGCTGGCCCCCGGTGCCTGGGTCGCGTCTGTGGGAAGTCCTCAACCTGTGCTCGGGGCTCATCCCTCCGGGTGGATGGGGGCTCAGGGGCTCTGAGGGTGTGGGCCCTACGCCTGCTGCAGGGGCTGCTCCTGGGAGCTCAGTGGGCACCGGGGTGGGGAACACACTGCCCGGCTCCCCAGCCTCTCATTTCAGCCCCCTTCCCCTCTCACCACGGCCCAGCTTGTCCAACCTCCTTCTCTGGATGGGCCTGTGGCTATGGCCATGCCCACTGAAGCCAGGGATGAGGAGTGGCCCAGGGGCCACAAAGCAGGATGTGGCCTCATCCCTGGGTCCTCCTCCAGTGGGGTGTGGGGGCAGCAGAGGTCTGGCAGGACCTTGTCCCCAAGCCCCCCGGTTTCTACACCCATGACAGGTCTGCCTGTGCCACACACTGCCACATATAACCCAGTGTCCTCCAAAGCTGAGGACAGAGAGTAGGGGGATCTCCATCTGGGACAAGAGTTGGGGGGCCCCCTGCAACCCTGTCTCTGGCAGTCCCAGGGTTTGGGAAATGCAAAAGGGCCTTCCAGGCCTTTGGGACCCAATCCAGAGACTTGTCCTCAGGAGATCCTCACGTTTCCAGGGACCCTGGGGTTAGAGGCCCCTCAGACACTTGGTGATGGCGGGGTCCCTGCCTCTGCCTCCTCATACCCCTCGGCCCCCCCCAAAGTGACCTTTGTTGCAGCCCAGACCTGTTGTCAGCACATGTCACTGGGCATCAGCTCAGACCTGAGTCCACCAGGGTGCCCACTGTTGTCCAGAGGCACATGGTCCACGGGGTCCCCATCCGCACCCGGGACCCTCACAGGGCCAGGGTGGGGGCCGCTGCACCTTCTCCTGGCACAAGTTTTAGCTGAAATTCAGATGTGCATACTCCTTATTAAATGTATAAGCTAAATTCTTCCTTAAAATGGTTAAGTAGAACCAATAGGAAACATTTGTAGTAAGTTCCTACCAATTCTTACCCGTCCTCAGTCACAACATAGTTCCACCGGACTTACCCCTCGTGTCACCCGGGACCCCCAGGGCTCCTGGGCACTGTGGCCTTTTTGGGAGCTCATTCTTTTCAGTGCCTCTAATTGCATACTTGGCACCTACTATGTAGCAAGTGCTGAGAATAAAAGCATAAATAAGACATAATCCTCGTCTTTAAAACAAAACATGCAACACCTACAGGGACTAGAGGTCTGAATCCTATTTGTCAACTCGTTTTCTTCTAATCAGAGGATGGAACTTTCTGTCTACTTAGAAAGTTGTCATATATGCAAAAAGACCATATATTCCAACATATATATGGAGTTTAAAGGAAACCGAATCCCCCAGGTTTCTGCCCCGTGAGTGGTCGGCGTGGCAGTGAGAACAGAGGGAAGAAGGCCCAACCTGGCTGCTCTGCTCCTGCCACTTGGCGACTCCTGGCCTTGCCTGTCTGGGAACCTGGTGAGTATAAAACGGCCCCTCACCGGGGCTTCACTTCCCATTTCCCCGCCGTCTTCTGTGAGCTCCTGGCTCTCTGCGTGGGCTCCTTCTGGCCCCGGCCTCCCCCTTCTCTGTGATGTCTCTGTGTGAAGCCTGGTCACCTCTGTGTGGCAGGTACTTCCTGCAGGTCATGACCTGCCTTCTCCCTGTGCCTTTGGTGGGGTTCTTGGTTGGGATGAGGGGGATTCCTCAGCCTTTTCCTTTGCAATCCCCCCTCCCAGGCTTGAGGGCACAACGGCGTCCTGTGGCTTGACCGTCAAAGTTCTGCTTTTCACATACAAGTGCATATCTACCTGGAGCAATCTTTTTGTGTTTGGTTTAATGCTGCTATCCAACTTCACTTTTCTAGGCATGACCTGGTCCCTGGCACCTCGCATGGACCTGCACTGTGGCCCTGCTGTGCACCAGGCTTCCTTCTGCTGAGGGCTGCTCCTGGGTGAGCTGTGCCCCCTCAGCCAGTCCCATGCCATCCTGGGCCCTGGTCCTGATAATAGGTCTTGGGCACACCCTGCCCTCCACCCACAAACTCTCCCACCCTGCTCTTCCTGCACTCACATTTGCTGAGCACCTACTGCATGCCAGGAAGTTTCCAGGTGCTAGGAAAACGTCAGTGACAATAGCATCTACCTTCCTTAAGCATACATTTGAATGGGGCTGTGTGTGGGACTCTTTAAACTAGTGACAGAAGGTTTTATGGAGAAGAACAAGGAGAACTGAGTGATGGTGGTGGGGCTACAGTTTAAATGGGATTTCCTGCCCACATCATTCCCTCCCCACTCCTGTGGGCCTTCCTGCACCCAGGTGCCCTCCCTGTCTCCCTGTGTGCCAGGGAGACGGAGTCCCCTTCTGTCCTGAGCTCCTGTGCACCCACACCCCTGGCCTGACCTTGCAGCAGCTCGCCTCCCTCCTGTGTGCACGGCCTCCTCTCTGCAGGCCCTTCCTCTCCTTCCATCACCCAAGCTCTCTCCTCCATCGGGCTTCCTGTGGCTTCTATTGCTGTGAACAGGTGCCCACACTGCCTCTGCCCCCAACTAGGCCCTCTGTCCAGCTCTGGTGACATCCTTTGGCCACTGGCCCTGCTCCCCATGCAGCTTCTCAGGTATGACGCCGGGACCTCGTCTTGCCCAGTCCTGGCCAGCATCAGGTCCCAGGTGCCTTCCCACTCAGTGCCTGAGGACTCCAGGGCAGGGGGGTCTGGAGGGATGGGTGTGTCCCAAGGGGGCGCTTCCCAGGTTCTGGCTTCCTATTCTGCCCCTATGGCCCCGGTCCCCTCCTGCTTGCTAGTGCTAATTAAGCAGCACTGTGTGCGGTGGCTGGTTCTAGCCTCTCTTCTTCCTCGGGGTACACTGTGCATTTGCCCTGGTGTCTCCAAGACCCACTGATGCCCCCTACCTGTCTCAGGAGGGATGCCAGATCCACATTGTTTCCGGATGGACTGCGGCCCCAAGCCTGGGAACCACCATGCGAGCAGGGTGTGTGGTATCTTGTACCCGAGGGTGAGGACTGGCCCAGCCTCAGCAGGCTGCCTCCGCTAACTCTGTCCTGGGTCCTCGGGGTGACCCTGCCTCTCCCGTTTTCCATTCACATCCTGACTCACTGTGTTTATTAAACATGTGGATTTCCACTTGCACATCTCTGGGCAGTGAGGACCTGATCCCACCCACTGTCCACAACCCATCGCCAGCAGTCTCTACATGGTTGTTATGCTCTTACTACTGGGAGAGAGGACTTTGGAGTCCAAATAAAGATCTTCAGCTTCATGAATCAGGGAGGGTCTTGGCATTCACATCATCATATTGATAGCAAATCTGCATAACTCTCCATGCTTGCTCTGTGCTCAAGGTCACCCTGGAGTAGAATTGTGGTTCTCAGTGGGTGACCCCTGGGAAGCTGAGCCCCTGGTGTCACCTCAGCAGTAAGCTGCAGGGGCCCATCCAAGGTGGCTGAGGGACAGAGGAAGCCAGTTGAGCCTGGACTCTCTAGCAGGTGACCAGCTGCTCATGAGCTTGGTGGCATTGCTGTCCCACAGTGGGTACAGCTCAGAAAGCGTCTTCTCCCAGGGACCAGTTACTTTCCCTAGAGTATGGCCTTTCCCGTAAGTAAATGGACAAAGGTTGTAAACAGGTAGTTTGGAGCTGTGAAAATCCAAATGGCTGATAAATACATGAAAAAATCTCATTCACCAGTAACCAAAGAAATGCAAGTGAAATAACAAGGCCCTCACATCTGGCCTATGCTGGTGGGAATGCTGCCTGGCACCACCTTCTAGGAAGCCATCTGCCAGTGTCCTTGAGAGGTGCCCAGCTTTGGACCTGTTCATTCTACTCCTGAGAAGCCATCCAGGAGAAAATGTAAGTGGACGAGACTGATGCTCCAACTGTCTCACATTTTTGTTTATAATCAGAAGAAGTAAGGCACAATTCAGGGGCCTGCATGGGAGCTGAGGTCCCATTGTTTTTCAGAGCCTCTTGCCCCATTTCTGGCTCCCAGGCAGCAGATGCTGTGCCTGTCTTTGTTACCCTGAACCCAACCAGCATCGCTTGGCGCAGTTGGTGCTCATTAAACAGTTGTTGAGAAGCCATGTGACAATGGGGGCAGGGACTGGAGTGACGGGGTGACAGGCAAGGATGCCTGGAGCTGCCTGGGGGGAGGAACCAAGGATACGCCCCCTCAGGGCCTGCAGAGGGACATGGCCCTGTCACACCTCCATTTTAGGCTTGCGGCCTCGGGAGTGTGATACGGTGAGTTTCAGTTGTTTTAAGTGTCCAGTTTGTGGCCCTGGGAGATGGATGCTGCCATTGGAAACACCTATAACCAGAAAAAAGGCTTAAACGGGAAAAGGTGGAAAAGTGGCAGAGGCTGAGCTGCACCTTGCTTGCTGCACAAGTGTCCAAGAGGAGCCCTGCTGCCTGGGGTGCCACCCTGTGCCCCCACCCGCCTGGCAGGCCAGGCCTGGCCACCTGCCCTCCTTCGCTCGCCTGCTTCTCCTTCTACATCTGGCTCTCCCCATTTTCTTTCTTCTGTCCCCCATCTCTAGCTGATTATGAAACATAATCAAACTGCAGTTTTAATGTAAAAGTGTCCCTCTGGAATCAATTGCTACGTGCCACAGTCTCCATGGCAAACTCACTCCGGCGGCTCCCTCCTCGTAACACAGCCAGGCTGTCTGAGCCTCGGCCCATCTCGCCAGGCCCTGCAGACTTGCCCTCCCAGCAAGGCCTGCTCCTTCCCGCACGACCCACTCTCCCAAACGACCTTGTCCTCCTGCAGCTGCTTTGCTGGAAGACCCCACTGCGCCCTCAGTGGAAGTCAAATCCAGCCCCATATCCTGGCGCCTAGTGACCTCCGCAGAGCATTCCCCAAGCCCAAATCCCTGATTTTGGCCCCTCTGCTATGCGAAGCGTCAGGAGCCCTACTCCCTTCTCTCTGAGCAAACCTTGCACCTGAGCCCCCAAGGCGGCTCCCGTGTCCTCCCTCATCTTCCCCCCACATCCATCTGTCTCCATGCTGACCCCGTGTGGGACCCCTCCCAACATCCCACCCTTCGTGGCCTGAGGAAGGGGAAATGCTGGCACCAGACCCCTTCTGGACTCTCTCTGAATTTTCCATCCCAAGTCCTTCGGGCTCCCAGCACCCCAGGAAGATGTGAGACTTCCTGAGACATCAGCTTCTGGTCTGACTGCTGCTCTGCTGGAGTGGGGCAGACGGGGTTCAGGTCCCCTGGCAGTGACCCCTCTTCCCACTTGAGGCGAGTGATTGCCCGGCTTTGTTCTCTCATATGCCAAGTGTCTAATACTGAATAAATGTTTGCTCATTTGCCACCATCAGGATGGAAGGCTGGAAGGGGGCTGGACCTCGAGGGGACCAATGGCCACCACTGCCTGGCTGTTCTCCCCATCGGCCACCCCGGGGTCACCTCTGGCCTTCCTGCAAGGCCTCACACTCCACTGGGCCCGCCCAGGTGAGACTGTCCTCAGTCCCCAGCCGTGGAGCTCAGGGGTGGGCAGATGCTGGCAGGAGAGGAGTGCAGGCCTTCGCAGTCGGCGTGGACAGTGGTGCTGCCGATTGGGCTGCAACAAGCACCACAGCGTGTGGCTGTCTGAGCCAGAAGCAGAGTAGGTGCTGTCTGGTGTCTTTGTCTGCCTGGGGACCCAGCTCGAGGTGGACTCGGGTCTTGGAGAAGGTGTGTGGTCCATGGCTGAGATCATGCTGAGGGCAGCGGCTTTTACTCAAGCACCTCTCTGTGTTTACCCCCAGCCTCACTGAGGGCTGCCATGTGCTCACACACAGATGCCATCCTGAGACAGGGCTGCCTGGAGTGGACGGTGGGCCAGGCAGGGTTACAAAGGCCTAGCAAAGGCTTCCCTGTGGCTGAGGTGGGCGTGTGTGCCTGAACTCCTGCCTCCATCTCTGATGGCCTCCCCCCACACACCCTGCCTGTCAGGCTGGGTCTGGGAGGGCCGGGGTAGCCGGGTCCACCCTCTGTCCAGGACCCAGGTGCTGCCCGACAAGCGGTGCCTGGAGGCTCAGAAGACACTTGCAGAGAGAAAATCGGAGAAGGGAGAAAGCAATGGGTACTAAGGCAGGAGGGACCAACCCCTTGGGGCCAGAGCCCCCTGGCATGGTGGGAAGGATTCTCCTCGGATAAGGGCTGGGCCTCCCTGCTGGTGAGACACGGAGGAGGGGCTGCAAGGGTCCTTCACTACATGTGGCTCGCTGGGTCCCCCGGTCCATTGGGGGCAAGGTGGAGAGCCAGGGTGGAGTCAGCAGCCCCTGTGGTTCCCAGATGTGCAGCCAGTGGGGATGGAGCTACCATGAGGAGGCAGGAAGGACCCCAAATCTGTCCTTTGTGACCCCCCTGAACAGAAACACTGTTTTAGAATGTGGGTCAGCAGCAGCTGGTGGGACCAGCTCTGGGCTGGGCAGGCTTTTCGCCCTCTCCCTCCCTCTCTCCTTGTCTATAGCACGTGCGAGGCCTCACTCAGCCCGGGGAGGATGGCAGGGCGTGCGAGTGGGACCCCATCTCACTGGGTGGTGCGGCATGGGCCTCCTGGTGCTGGCTACCCCCAAGTCTTGCGCTCTGACAATGTTTTCCTTAGTTCCCTTCTGGAGCCCTGCTGGCCTCAGCCGCATGCAGCCTTTACCCTCTCCAGATGCCTGGGGGCACCCACAGCCTCTGTGTCCTTGCAGCAAACCCAGAGAAGGACCTGACCCCACCCCCCCACAGAGGGGCTGGAGTGGGGGCACAACCACCCTGTCCTGCCCACTGGGGAAGGGGCTGCCTGTGCTCAGGCACCAGGCTGGGGGCGTTTCAGGCTGGCTGAACTGGTTATGTAACAGCTCACACGTGGATTTACTTTGGCTGCTTTAAAACCCTAAACACTCTGCAAACGGTGAGCCTTCTTGACCGTTGGAAACGCTCCCTGTTGGCTCTG